CCAGATATGGATGTCAATCTATTGCTTGTTCAGACCCCCAGTTCAGAGATGTTCCAAAACATGGATACCTTTCTGATACTCGTCCACTCACCAACGACATACAGTTCAACAAACATTTCCAGATGGCATCTTTAAGCCCATCCTCCTACCAGCAACTTCCAGATGGCATCTCTAAGCCCATCCCCCGACAAGATTCTGTCACATCCCTAGATGGCATCTCTAAGCCCATCACCAAATGGCATCTTTAAGCTCATTCCTTCTACCATCACATCACCGAGTGCAAATTTTTTGGGCACTCTAGTGTCCAATCTCCTTTTACCCTCGAGTCGCGAAAGGCAAGCTTGCCAATCTAACTCTTCAGGTTCAAGAAGATTGAACAGGGGCAACTGTTGTACCCCAAAATTTGCCCTCCTCTTTTTCCACAAGAAATCATAGCTTCAGGTTTTCCCTGACTTTTTTAAATTAGCGTAAGAATCAGTCAAACAGACTTTTTCTTATCAGTCTATCCAAATTAGGGTTTTCATGGCTCTGGAACAGTTCAAGCAGATTGTTAGGGTTTGGTTGAGTTGGCTCAGGTTCTGATCAGGCAGGCGCTTCTTCGACATTAAATCAAGAATCAGGGTTTTGTGCGCGCATTCTCAGAAAGAATTAGTTCTACAGTTCTTTTCAATTTACTCTGAGATATGGATTGAGGCTTCTAATTGAGAGTTTGCTGTGTTTGATTTAATTAGTAAAAGGAAAGGACATTTGGGCATTTGTTGTGATTGACTGTGCATTGCTATGGTTAATTGGAACGTCGGGTTTATTATTGATTCATGCTAAATGGCAAGACCACTGTGTTTATTAGTTATTTATTTGTTCTAAGTCAGAATAACTGGATTTACTTCCAGTTATTTTAATTTAAGAAACTCAAATAATTAAATGGACAGTAATTTGAAAGAATAATTAACTGACAAAGAAGGATGTTTATTCATTTTGAATTGTTTGTTACAGATATTATTTGAATACTGTAAATTTATTTACAGTTATTTACATTAATATTATTACAAATGATTAAAATTGAAATAAAGCTATCCTAATTATCCTAAATCTTCATCCTCTATCTGATGCTCCTATGCTCAATTGATTTTCATCTGCAAAAACAAAGAAAAGGAAAAAGTCAAATGCAGATGAAATAAATTAAAAGCAGACAGATATTTTAAGGCTCATCATTAAAAGTAACTGGCCGGAATCAATTATTCACCCTCTCTGCAAATCACAAGAAATACTCTTGGTTCACAAAGAGGGATAGAAATATGTTTTGCAAATCTAAAAAATGCATAAAGCTGCATAGTTCATTATTCCAAATTGTCAACCAAAGTTTTCAAACTGAATAACCAAGTCCAAAAGCAAACTGAATTGAACAACCAAGTGAATAAACAAAACAAGTTGCCCAAGTCACACTGTCAAAGAAACTAAGCCAAAGTTACAATTTCAAACTAAGCAAACCGAATGTCAAACAAACTGTCCACAAACTGTCCAAAAGCTATCAAAAGGATGTCCAAAAGATATCAAGAAGTACACACAATATGCAGGAAATCAGGAAAGTGTGCAGAGGAAAACTAACAATGCAAGCATATTCAAAAAAATCATCATTTTCCAGCCAGTATACTTTTTCAGAAAGGTACAGTTGAAAGCAATAAAAAATGCTTTTTAAATTTGTAGAGAGAGAGAAGAGAGAGAGAAGAGGCTTACAGGATTTAGGCTTAGGAAGATATATAAAACAAAAAACATATCAGAACACAAAAGGAGGGGGAGAACCATATAACAAAAAACAACACAAAAGCTTGTAAGCTCTCAACCTGTAATCAAAAACACAAGCCTAACCTGTTTCAACTCTAAACCTTGAAGCCTACACCAGAAAGGGCCACACAAACTGATAAACCCCATACAAACCAGCAAGCCTGAAGCCTAAGCTCCAAACAAGCTTACAAACCATAAAAATTCGTCCAAAGTCAGAATCATACAAGCCCTCTCAAAACAAACTGGCAAACACAAACTAAAGCCTTCACCTGCCTCAAACACGAGCAAACAGCCATACAAACATATCAAGCCTAAAACCAGAATCCTTCATCTGCATAAACCTGTAACACAAGCCTACACCAGAAAAAGCCCTCCAACTGTAACATAACATAGGCCTTTCAAACCATAAGCCAAAGCTTGTTTCTAATACAAAGTATGTCAAAAACTACAGCATCCCACAAGCTTTTCAAAGCCTAAAGCTCCAAACAAGCTATACAAACCTGCTTCACCAACTTTTCAAAACTGTGTTAAGCATACAAGCCTTGAAGCATTCAAACCAACCACACCCTCAGAGCAACCTCATCATAGGGTTATAAACATCAACAAAAGCAATACTCAAAATCAACATTGACATTTCAACAAGCATCTCAGCAAGCAAACAGTGGAAGAGGAAAAGAAGTGAAACAATAAGCCAAGCATCTCAGAATCAAATAATCATTGAACAAAAAAAAGGCAACTCAGCAATCAACATCATTAAGCAAGTATTTCAGGGGCGAGCATACAAGCATACAGAAGCAAGCAAAAGAGAAGACAGAAGCAAGGGAGTTAGGTTTTCAGACCTTCATCATCAAACCATAAAAAACAAATACAAAGTACCAGTTGTTCACAGAGCAAGCTCAACATCACGCTCCCTCGCCTTGGCCGCCCTAGGACGCCTCCTATCCACCTTCCCTCCTCCATCTCCAAAGGCCAGCAACGGTATAATTTTTCCTTTTCCCTTTTCTTTTTATACCTCACAAGACACAGATAATAACACAATAAAGATCAAGACATAAGAGCTAAAAACATGCATAATATTCAAAACCTCAAACGTAAAAAATGGAAAAGAATTGTTACCCTCTTTGAAGTACCACCTTGAGCAAGCCGTGAGGAGAGGATAAGCTGGAGGTTGCGTCCGGTGGCCAGGCAGGGAGGGAGCTCAGAATCCATGTCTCACGAGCGAAGAAAGACGAAGACGAAGAGTGAAGAAAGATGAACGGCGCCGCGCTAAGCCTGTAGCCCTAATTCCAAATGAGACAAAACACTAAAACCCTAAACGAAATGTTGTGAAATGCGTTGGGCCTCAACCCCATCTACATGCTGTCATACCCCAAATTTTGACCTAAGATACCACCTCCCATCTGCATTATTACATAGCAAGCGTTCACGAGCGATTCGACCTATTTTTGCCATTTTCTCGGGTCAGATTTCAGAAATTCATAACTTCTTCGAATTTCGACATTTTTTAGTGGTTCTTTTACACATGATTCTCCTTGACAACAACTACAACTTTCCTTTAGAAGTCAAGAGATGATTATTTTTTGAAATGCCACGAAAGAATGAAAACGTTAGAAGTCGCTTTATGAATTTAATGAAATTTGATCATGTCTTGTCCAACCTTTACCAAATCGTACATATCGCACATTTTTTTGTCTTGTATTTATCATTTTTGTATTATTTAAAAAAAATAAAAAAAAATATGTATTTTAGTTCATGTCATTTTTTACAAACGCATTATTAGAAAAATCACAAAAATATTTATAATTAGCATTATAGTATTTTAAATTCGCAATTCTTAATACAAAAAAATATAAAAAAATTAATATAGTTTTATTGGTTCCATTTAGATTCATGTTTTAGTATAAATTTTAATCCAAAGAAAATCTCAAAAATGTAGTTAATATCTTTTTTCCTTTATTTTACATTTTTTGATTATTTTTAGTCATTATAGTTTTAGTTTCTTTTAATCCAATATTGATTTTGATTTGATTCTAATTTTAATTCAATTTTAAAACTGAATTAATATTAAAATTAAAATAAAATTAATTTTGTTTGCATCTCATTTTTATTATTATTATTATTATTCTGTTTTATATTACTAACAAATTGCCTTTTATCTTTATTATTACTATTATCTTTGTTTATTTGTTTTATGTCCAATAAAGTAGTGGTCCCAAAACCAATTTTTGTTGCTGCCCATAACATGCCAAAATCAGTCCAAAACAAAGCTAAAAATGTTGATGTCCAAAACTGATTTGCACCCTATTGTTGTCTTGCTGTTACTAACAATTCAAACGGTCCAAATGCTATATCACAACCTGCAAAAAGCTGCCTCATATCACTCCAAACCAACCAAATATTACACTAATTTAGCAAGACCAAAACCTGTATCAAAAAAAGCAATAAAGCAACTCACCAAAATTATTCAAGCTTATTAAAATCTCCCTCCAATTTCACTTATGTTTGGCTATAAGACATTAAAAAAAATTAATTGTAAAAAACTCCAACAATCTTCATTCATCAACACCTGCATAAAACAACCACCTTATTCTAAACCAAAAGAAACGGATTCAACACAAAACTCCAATAATCAACACAAAAAGCAGAAGCATTAACACCAACTCATAATCACCTACAACAACATCCGCCTCATCTCATCTGTAGCATATCAACGTCAAAAACTCATAGCTCCAGTCGATACAACACAACAAGAACACAACAAGACGTCATTCAGCAACAAAAAGCATAAAAGTTGCAGCATACTCTTAGAAGCGTGAAGAGAAAAGAAATCCGTGGTAACAACACTGAGGAAAAAGAGAAGAGACTTACCTCGAGGAGTCGTCACTCCGATAACTTTCGGACAGGTAACACTGTTATTATTACATTGTTGTTTTGGTCTTAAGAATTTTTATAGTATCGTAAGGATTATATGTGCTGTGGTACTTGTCTGCTTTTCAAAGATTTCTTTGTTGTTATGAATCATTCTTGTTGTTTGAACCGTATTGAAAACAGAATTACTTCCTATAATCCAGTATTACATCAACCATATCAAGAAAATAAATCGAAACAAAGTAGTCCACACTTAACCCATTCATTTTCTCTTTCTTCCTGAAACCCTTGTTCCCAAGCTCGAATCTCTTTCTTCCTTTCCGTCAAACCTCCGTTCTCACCTCGATCCGATGACCACCGCGGCCAGACCCACATGGGCTCCTGCTAAAGATGGAAATGAACATGGCGGTACTCGAATTTTCGGTCCTTCCCAGAAGTACTCCTCAAGAGACATAGCCTCCCACACCACTCTCAAACCCAGAAAAGATGGCCAGGATACCCAGGATGAATTAAAGAGAAGAAACTTACGTGATAAACTGGATGAACGTGAACGGAGGCACTTCTCATCAAAAATAAATTTCATAATGATGACAGAGATTTTGAAGATCACATTGTTTCGCGCAGTGTTGATGCAGATGATTCCGATGTTGAAGTCAACAGTGTTGATGACGATGAAGATGACACTGAAGCTTTGCTGGCTGAGCTTAAACAAATAAAGAAGGGAAGGGCAGAGGAAAAGCTACACAAGGAACAATAGCATAGAGAAGAGGAAGGTGATGGTGTCGATACTGATGAGAGAGAGAGAGGATCGCTACAGCTTCTTAATATTTGTTTCATTTTTCTATTTAATCTATTTCATTGAAATGATATAATAATAATAATAATAAATCTGATTTTTCCCTTTGCAATTCCAACAGCAGCGGCGGCTTGTCTTAAGGTGTACTAGGGTTTCTTTTTTTCCCTCCTAATCCATAACCCGGTTGGCCCATTGGGCCCGTTTGGCTTAGCTTTTTCTAGTTCCTTTCCTTTTAATTTAACTGAGTTGTAGATATAACAGAAAGTGTTAACAGTTTAATTGGCAAGGCATATTATCAGCAATCTAAAGGTCCTGAGTTCAAGTCCTTGTGAGGTTTTTTTTTTATTTTGTTTTTGTTAACTCTTTAACCTTATTTATAAATATATATATATATATATATATATATATATATATATATATATATATATATATATATATATATATATATATATATATATATATATATATATATATATATATATATATATTAGTAAATCTTATAACTAATTTAGTTTAGTATTAATTTAGATTTATTTTATAACTTTTTGTTTTCGCTTTAGTTTAGTAAACTTTAGAATTTCATGTGTTGTAGTATTATTTTAGTAACTTTAGGATTTTATTTCATTTAGATTTGACTTAGTAAATTTTAGAATTTTATTTGTTTTAGTTTAAATTTAGTAAACTTTAGAATTTTATGTGTTGTAGTATTATTTTAGTAACTTTAGGATTTTATTTCATTTAGATTTGACTTAGTAAATTTTAGAATTTTATTTGTTTTAGTTTTAATTTAGTAAACTTTAGAATTTTATTTTGTTTTAGTTTTATTTTAGTAACTTTAGGATTTTATTTCATTTAGATTTGACTTAGTAAACTTTAGAATTTTATTTTGTTTTAGTTTTATTTTAATAACTTTAGGATTTTATTTCATTTAGATTTGACTTAGTAAACTTTAGAATTTTATTTTGTTTTAGTTTTATTTTAGTAACTTTAGGATTTTATTTTATTTAGATTTGACTTAGTAAACTTTAGAATTTTATTTTGTTTTAGTTTTATTTTAGTAACTTTAGGATTTTATTTCATTTAGATTTGACTTACTAAACTTTAGAATTTTATTTTGTTTTAGTTTTATTTTAGTAACTTTAGGATTTTATTTCATTTAGATTTGACTTAGTAAATTTTAGAATTTTATTTGTTTTAGTTTTAATTTAGTAAACTTTAGAACTTTATTTGATTTAGAATTAGTTTAATGAGTTTATAATTTTTATTTGATTTAGAATTAGTTTAATAAGTTTAGAATTTTAGTTGTTTAGAATTAGTTTAATATTCTTTTAGAATTTTATTTGATTTAGATTTAGTTTAGTAACTTTGGAGTTTTTTTTTGTTTTAGATTAGCAACCTTGGAATTTTTATTTAGTTTATATTTAATTTATTAATTTTAAAATTTTTAATTTAGCTTAGATCTAATTTAGTAATTTTAGAACTATTTTTGCAACCTTAGAATTTGTAGTTAGTTTAGAATTTTTTTAGTAAGTAATCTTAAATTTTTAATTTAGTTTAAATAACTTCTTTAGATAATTAGTTACATTCTCTTTTATTTTATTTAAATATCTTTGTCATTTTAATTTCTCGATGCCTTTAGGTCATTAATCTGTTTCGTTATATTTATTTTCTTGTGAATTTTGATTGCTTATATTTTGATGTCTATTTTATTTTGCTCGCTCGATTTAATCCAAGGGAAATGTTTTAACTTTGTTGACTTCATGTTATCAAACACATCTCATCCAATCGTGCGAATACCCTCATTCATCTTTTGTTTGTTTACTATTTTGTTAAACCTAAGATAATTTTCCCAAAAGATTCAATTTTTAAACTCACACCTTTTAAGTCAAAACTTCGACATTAGGTCGCTGTCTCTTCAAAATCTCATCCGCACCCATCTTTAGCCAAACAAACTATTTTAATCAAACAAACAATTAAAAAAAAACAGATATTTCAAAAGGTTCCTATAGGATACTATAGATACATTGGGTGCTAATACCTTCCCCTTGTATAATCAACCCCCGAACTCTAGACCTCTTTTCAAAACGCCTTGTATTTTCATTACTTTTAAAAGTATTATTTTACATTGCATACTTTAGGGTTTTATTTCGCTCTTTTCCCTTTTCCCTTGGAAATAATAAAGCGCGGTGGCGACTCTTGCTTTTGTGAGACGAATTAATTAATAATTCGATCTCCGATTTACCCCACTACATTTTTTATCGCTACACATGCCTAAGCCCATATACAATCTGAAGCGCACCCCTTTTGTCTTTTTTCAAATCAGTTTCCTTTTTTTATTGTTTGGGCCATACAAGGCCCATCTAACTCTTTCTTTTTTATTATTTTCTATTTATTCCAACTAACACTTTTATTTATTTTTCTTTTTATATAACTTAACTCTTTTTTTAAATAAATAATATACTAATTTCTCATATAAAAAATGTTGTTAATACTTTTCATTATAATTAAAAACATAAATATTAGATTTTATTAAGATTAAACATTTTCATTTTTTTATTAAAACCTTTTTTTAATTTAAACCTTGTACATAAAAATACTAACTAAAATACATAAAAACATTAATACATAAAAATAGAATTTCTTAAACATTTTCTTTTCTTTTATTAAATCTTTTGTTTTGTACCTAATTAACAAAAGATCCAAAAAAGATAATAATACTTAATGATTACTTAATTTTGCATTAAGTTAAACATCTTTCTCACTTGTAAATAAATCACATACACTTACACCAATACATTTGCTTGCTTTTATTCTTGTACATTGATACATGTTATATTGAGATGGCGATTCAATTTGGTTGTAAATATATTTGGACACTAGTCTCCTAATAAGTCTCATCCCCATTTGTAAATATTTGTACCCCCATTCCCGGATACTTATTTGTAATAGCGTAGACTTTAAATTCCCGCAATTTATCGCTTTCAATTATACCATGTTTAGACCTAGGGTTTGTATGTAAACAAAATCAACCGCTAGATAACCTAATACAAAAACAAATGCATGAAAATCAATACACCATTCACACTTGCACCTCCTAGGGTAATCCCGCTTGTTGCCTTCCAAAATGGGCCATGCTTGCATGTTGAGTGTCTTTGGCAAAACAAAACAAATCAAATCAAAATGATCATAGTCCCTCGACGACGCTTTCTCAAGTTGCCTAAAAATGATCAAGTCCCTTGAAGGAAAAATTTCCAAAGACACTTGGCACTATTGCATTCATGGTCTAAACGATGACCCGCGCCCGTCCCGTTAACATCCTAACACAAGATTGTCCACCAAATACAATGGTGGAACAATACTGTTAAAAGGGTTAAAACATAGGAAAGATCTTTGAGAAATTTAGGGTAGATAGCTCTTGGTTACTTGACCAACTTGCAAAACAAATTCTTGCCATTTTTCAAAACACACTTCACAAACACAACTTTCAAAACCACTTTCAAAACCTTGAAACATCTTTTCAAAAAGACAAACACCTTTTGTAAAACATTCGAGTAAAGAATTGTTACAAGGGTTGCCTAGACAAGGCATCTTTTTCAAAACATTTTCAAACCCACACACAAAGCACCATTTCAAACAATTGAAAATGCAAGGCAAGTGATCTAAGCAAGTAACTAAGAGCCCATGGATAACCATGGATAGAAAGGGTGCTAATACCTTCCCTTTCTATAATCTACTCCCCGAACCCAAGAAAACATCTCAAAGGTTTTTGCTGTGCTTTTTAACCTTTCCCTAGGATAAAATAAAAAGTCGGTGGCGACTCTTGCTAAACCGAAACATTTGCAAAAACAAACGCAAAACCCGAGTCAGTTCTCCCACCGTATCACAACTTGTATTTCTCCAATTTTTGTCAAAATAATATTTTTATCTGTTTTCTCCCTTTTTGACAGTTTCCTTTTAATTTTGGTACTGGAAAGTCCCAACGCACTTGTTCAAGCTTGAACTTTGAGAATCCTTGTGAGAAAGGTCTTGAAGAATGAGAGGGCAAATTTTGGGGTACAACAGTATGTAAACTTTAAAACGGTTAGCAAACCCTAAATGTGCAAAGATAAATAATTTGAAATTGAATCATTCGCACATGCGCACTCCTACGGTATACTCCACTTCGGTTGCCTTCGATAAATGGTCATTAGGTATAGGATGCTTTAGTGGTCGTCCTCTTGTCCAAAAGATCAAAGTTGCCTCGGAATGATTGCCTCGGAATTGTTGCCTCGAATAATTGATCTTAAGACATTAGGGTTATTACTAAGACATCCTAACATTGCTTTAGTGATCGTACGTCCCTTTTTGAATTAACCCTCAAACTCCAACGACGGTCCTACCTACTCACTAAATAGTGGGATAGTGTTGTCTAAAGGAAACGAATATAGAACAATTCTTTTTTCGAGTAGGTAGATTAGTTCTTAAGTACTTGCTCAATCCAAACAAACTTTTTCGCACTTACAGTCCTTTACAAACAAAGTTTTCAAAAACACTTCATTACACTCTTGAAGACAAAAGCAAGAGTTAAATCGAAGTCAAAATAAAAACTTTTCAAATCACACATACACAAAGAAGAAATTTTGAAAATTATGAGCAAGTACCTAAGAGCCCGTGGAAAACCACGGATAGAAAGGGTGCTAATACCTTCCCTTTCTATAATCTACCCCCCGTACTCAGGATAATCTCGAAAAAGGAATTTTTCTGTGCTTTTTTCCTTTCCTTGTTGGATAAAATAAAAGTCTGTGGCGACTCTTGCTTACCGCGACATTTTGCAAACACAAACGCAAAATGCAAACCAGTATTTCTAAAACAGTTATGGTTCTGCCACCTTATCACACCTGGGATTCGAACCCAGGGCCCAAAGCATTTTCCAACCACCTGGCTACCAACTGCGCTGCATGTTCAATTTGTACATAGAATAA